GGCAGCATCGATTCGCGCTGTGTTGGTGATGATGTTGGGGTCTTTCTTGTCCTGGGGCACGTTGAAGTCCACACGAATGAAGACCCGCTTGTCCTTGAGGTCCACCTCGTCGATCTTTGTCTTGGCCAAACCTCACTTACCCAGCTCTGAACTTTTGCGATATTACGTGGATCAACAGGTGAACGGCTCAACAAAAAAGTTGCCAAAAATGATGCCAGCACCCCGTTTATTCCTTCAGATGAGGTCAACTGAAATCCTTTGTCAATGTGTATATTTCTTTTCTTCACGATTCCAAGAAGCCTCTGCAAGCCACCACACTCCGCGAAGCACGTGGCTGAACAGCCTTACGGCGTGCTGCAGCCGCGGCAACGCTCAGGCCGCCCACAGCCAGGGCACTGCTCAGGCCTGCAGAGGGGGAGGAGCTGCTGGAAGCAGAGGAGAGGATCTTCTGGCTCGCACTGGCCACCCTGGGCTCCAACTCCACGGGGCGGCTGCCGGGGGCCACGAAAGCCGTGGCCAAGGCTCCAGCGCCCAGGACGGAACCCACAGCCACTTTGGAGACAGGTGCCATGGGATTGACGGAGATGTGTCTAGGAATGCAGCGCGGGAAGAGCCAAAACTTCCGCAGTGCAGGTGGAAACCTGTGTGTCCAAAAGAACCCCGTAAATCAACCGTCCACGGCTACCACCAAAGTAAGGAGTGTAGCTGCCATTGACGGATCTCTTTAGCGAGTTGCTAATGCGAGTTGATAATGCGCACAGCTTTTTGCTTTGAGTTGCGTTGGCGTGTCTCACCAAGCGAGGAAAAATCAAGCGAGAAAAGATGCGCCTCACGCGTGTGAGCACATGAAAGCTGAGCATCTTTTAAACTAAAGTGCCCGTCAAGAAATCAATGCATCTACTCAATCTATTCGGAATCTACTCAATCTACTCCGGGCTCACTTGGAGTCATCCAATGTGGCCACTCCAGGCAACACCTTACCTTCCAACAGCTCCAAGGAAGCGCCGCCGCCAGTGCTGCAGTGGGAGACCTGTTTTTGTTCAGCCGCAACCGGATCTTTGCCCAAAAGCAACACATTGGCCCTTGATCATTCTATCAACACTGTCCATGGCTATCATTCACCATATTCATCCACAATAAACCCAGATCTAGCATATTTCACTGTCTATCACTTACAGTATATATATTCTCAACAGTTGCTTCTCCCACAAGATCTTCACCCACTAGTCCCCAGTACCTTGTCCACGGTGTCATAGACCTTGCACGCGGTGGCCGTGTCGCCGCCGCCGATCACGGACACAGCACCCTCCTTGGTGACCTCGACGATGGTCTGCATCCTGGGAAGGTTGGTTGTCGACTGCGTATTCGGCGGAGAACGACATGTGGCGGAATTGGGTGCCGTCTGCGATCTTTGATGTGTTTTGCCTGCTGGAGGGCCTCTGGCCTCTGATATGTCACACAACTCATGAGCCGGGCATCATCTGCTTGGTGCCCTTCTCGAAGGCCTTCATCTCAAAGACACCCATGGGGCCGTTCCATACCTGAGCGAAGCTTGCTCAACATCTTGGACACACTAGGGTGAAGGGTTCGCCTTGCAGCATGCACATCAGATCCATCCATAAAAAGGCTTGGCTCCAATAGGACTTGAAAATTCTCTCCGTCCGAACAGATCTTGAGGCTTCAAACACTCGATGCAGGCGAGGCACAATGGTCTTGGACTTCTTGATGGCCTCGTCGTTCATGGCAATGGACTTGGGGCCAATGTCCAGCCCCAAGAAGCCCTCGGGCACACCGGTGTCCATGTCACCATCCTGGATCTCGCCATCCTCACCGAACTTGGAGGAGCAGACAAAGTCCACCGGCAGGATGAGCTCCACACCCTTCTCCTCGGCCTTCTTCTTGATTTCAGGCACCAGCTTGGCACCCTCCTCATCGTAGAGGGAGGCACCAATCTCAACACCGGCCTCCTTGATGAAAGTGAAAGCCATGCCACCGCCAATGATCATGATGTCCACCTGAAGCGTGTATTGGACAGGATCAAGGCAAATTCTGAGAGATGATGTGCGTTGCATAGAGGCACGAATGGTTCTGAGGCCTCTACCACGTTTGCGCTCTGTTTCCATCCCCTAGCAGCCCTAGCACTGTTCCCCGCCTTGTCCAACAAGTTCATAATGAGCTGAATCTTGTCTGCCACCTTGGCTCCGCCCAAAATGCCGCAGACCGGCCGGGTTGGGGAATCAACGACCTTGGCAAAGTAGTCCAACTCTTTGGCCAAGAGGAAGCCAGAGCACTTCCTGGACGAATGATGCCATGAAGAAAGTGAATGCAACAAAGAATGTTTTGAAAGGGTGACGCATGCAGAAAGGAGATCACTTGCGAAAACAGCACAATGACAACGAAGCTTCCTGACCACTGGCTGATGTTCACGGCGATCCTTCCGAGTGGAAATCATCGGGACCCCTTTCCAAACTTACACTGTGCTTGATTGCTCAGGGGCAAGGTGGCCACAAACGCTTTCCGAGAATAGGACTCACCCATCAAAGTTGCTGACTCAGTCGTCCAAAAAGGTGTTAGTTTATCTGGGGGTTGGTTGCCATGGGCCAGGAACTCTATGCGACTCACTCCTTACCACTCAGCCATCCAAGCTTCACTGGGAAACCATCTCCCACCATGGAGCTATGAGCTCGGTGTGCCGTGCCGAAAGCATCACTGCAGTAGATGTCTGCCAACTTGGCCAAGGAGGCGCGGAACTCCTTCACCTTCTCAGGATCCGCCTTCACCTGGGCTCGATTGAAAGGTGAAACGGAAAAAACAAGCGGGAAACTCTGCTCATTGGTGTCTTGGACCTGGCTTACTTGGGATTGGCTTGTCAGTCAGTCCGCATCAGGTATATACTTTTTGGGCGGGAGAATGGAATGGAATGACCTTGTCCCCTTGTCGGAAGATCACACAAAATCAGTTAGCAGAAAGGAACCGAAAGAGCTAGCCATAGGAAACGCAAAGAAATAATTATGGTTTTGAATTTATGACTGGGGTAGCCACTCACATCAGTTAATTGGAGTCAAAGCCGCCTTGTTGCCCTCAGCATCCTTGCCCTTGCCCTCCTCCTCGACGTAGAACCGAGAGTTCTCGAGGAGAATGATGGTGCCTGTCAAGCACCTACACTCAATGGAAAGATAGCACACTTGCACTGGCTCCTCATCCCTGAACATTGAAACGACTGCAAAGGTGCCAAGGTTGGGCACTCAAACTTGATAGCACATCGGCATAGCATATCGGCATAACATGGCATAACGATCTCCCTTGAACTTGGATCTCTGAAAACTGGTTGTTCCCGCCCAGCCTGGCTCAGGATCAGCGCATGCGGCCTCAACATCTTCGCCAACCACGTCATCCATCAGCTTCACAGGCTTTCCAAGCTTCTCCTCAACCACCTTGGCATCTGTTAAAGGAAGCAATCGCGTGTCCGCAGAAAACTGATTGAAACCCTTAGCAGTTGCGAACCGAAGGGACCGCCTCCAAAAACACGATCTGTCAGTATCTCAGCCAACAATTAGCGTTGGATCTCTCTCGTCTCAACCCCATCCGCCTTGGCCACAGGCTTCATGGAGAACTTCTCGTTCTTCTGACCATCAGGGCGGCCCAAGTGGGAGCACAAAACCACGGACTTGGCTCCTTAGATTTCGCCCAGAAGACC